AAAAAACTGATTTTTGAGGGATAGCTTGATACATCACTGCCAACGTGACTTTTATTCAGAGTATACACGATTACACTTCGATTACACTTGTAGTGGATACTTACATTTCATATTAAAGTGCAGGATGAAGGGATTCGTAGGTCGACCTCACCAAAAGACTTATTCGCCTCTAGTACGACGTTCAGGTTGACGCCAGTCCACGAGACATCCACAAGTCACGCCACTTGACGGGCATCGTTAGAGCTGGAATTCACTAGCGCAAGTGCTTCAAGTTGGCACTTAGCCATGAAGGCTATTCGTATCTTTCCTACATGCTATGCATACCTGTAACTAGAGCCTAATATAAATATATAGACATAGATGGATATAGAGGGCTTAGGTTAGTCCTCTTTCATTCCAATAAAAGTAAGCTTACTTAAGTGTGTGTCCGCCTGTGAGTCATAGTACGTAATAGTGGCTATAATTCAGAATAATAACACAAAAACCTAACTTCAGACCCAGAAAAACGAAGGTTCAATGGCCCAAAGAGGGGTATAATGACGGTCGCGTAAGCCCGAACGTAACTCAGCTAGTGCTTACCTGGAATAATGGAGGATGTCTAGTCATAGTAAAGGAGAAAGTCTGTAAAACAACTGGGTTCAATCGTTGTCTTCTGGTTAGGTCGGCCTACGAACCTTCCCATCATTCGCAATTAAAATCTGCATAAAGATTTTATTTCGAGTTCCAAAAATGGCATAATCGTCGTGATAAAGCTCCTCTAAAAGTCGTTAAGCGTTGAGGATCTTAGGAAGGAAGGTCGGGACTGATGTGCACCAACGAAGCTGCACATAGTAAGGAAATAACTAAGTCTTTTTACACTTTTCATGAGATTAGTCGTTTTACTGATGATATGTAGCAAAATACGACTAGTCGGTTTGCTTTCCTAACTTGCTGAGAACTCGAGAATACACAAGAATTATTACTTGCTCTCATGTCGTCTGTCATACGACAAATGATAGCACAGTGCCTCTAATTCATAGACGAAGGGGGTTTTTTCGAGAAATGCGATGATATAGACGACCCCGTAGAACTAAACGACAGCAGACCACGATGGAAATATCCTTGCATTAAAGGTTGTTTGACCTTGTTTTCATAACTTGGTCATATTGGTATAAAGACTTAGAGGAACGCACCTAGTTCGGAGTCCATTGTATGTATGATCATTTTCTTGCATTAGATGAGATCAATCAGTGAATTTCCATCACGCGCCTCTACTCCTGATGAAAGTCAAGTCAGCTTAGGGCACCATCACATTTGGCTAGTAAATTTAAGCGACTACATCTTTTTCCTCATCTACATTATCTTTTAAGTATATAAAGAAGAGTTAGGTTTCGAAGCTTCCATTAACGAGTTAGTATGACTCGACTTTACTTTACGAAGTTAAATTTGCTTGGGATTGATCTCACCGGAAATCGAAGGATTGAAGACTGTTGGATTGTGTGAATAGGCCCTGTGCCTTCTGTCCTGTGGCTCCGGTGAATAAGAGAAGAAAGCACGAATAATCTGCGGCTGTTGAATAGGCTTAAGGAAGAGAGCAGGAACAATTACTAAACAATAGGAGGCTGGAATAGCCTCGTGCCTAGTTATGGCTATAATGCCTATCGCGACATTAACATTACACACACAGAATAGCCCTGAACACTAGTCTACATTGA